AAGGCCCCAGACACTACTCACCAAGGTAGAATGTAGAGCATTATCTTTATAAGTAGTGTCATGCCAATTGAGCTAGATGTTCCCCGAGACCATGTAGACCTAACAAGTTATTGCTGCCCACATTTGAGTTCCTCCCATGCCTTGTGTTCCTGCTGTCCCACACCACCTACCATGTGGGCCCTTCCCAGAAGGAAAGCCTAGTCTGCATTAGGTCCAACTTTGTTAATCTCCTTTAGCAGCAGCAGCCCTAAGCCTTGGTATGGGCTTCTTCCCTTTCCCCTTGGCCCGTGACAGTGAGGATTTATCAGTATTCAGGGCTGAGCGAGACCTAGCTATTCCTGTGAAATGATAGGAGGTTGTATTCATCATATTTCATATGCAGGATGAGAAGGTTCAGTGGCTGGGGCAGGGATAGGACTCTGGGATCCCCCTCTTCAAAGTCCTCACACCAGGCCACCAACCCCTTGCTGCCCTCTCAAATCTGCCCACAGTACCTGCCACTCGAAAGGACTCGGCCTTGGATGCCAAGTAGGATTGAGCAGGTGAGGGTCACGGGGAGGATCCAAGGGCTCGGTGTGATGGCTGCGGCCTTGGATTGGGCTGTGCCTGGGGCCATGGGTGGTGGCGCTGAAAAGGAACCAGAAGAGTGAAAGCCCTTGTCCAGACTCCAAACCTGAGGAGACATCTTCCTCAGCTCCTGCCGACACAGGTAATCCAAACAATGCACACTTTTGCTAGCCCTCTACCATGTGGCAGCCACTGTGAGAGGTCTTAGCGGCTTATGGGATGAATCTGTCTTCTAGGAGCTCACATACTCAGTGAGGGAAGCAAAAGCTTACAATTCAACAATCACTCTTGCTGTGGCTGAAGAGGAGATGATAAATGAGCACAATAAGGAAGGATTCACAGGAGCTGACATTTGAGGTGGGTATGAAGGATTTCCAGAAACTGACCAAGGTAGATGAAAAAGAAAAGTGATTCTTGGAAGAGGGAATAGTAAGAAGTAAAGTTCTGGAAACATCATGATGCCCAAATGTTTACAGCCAACATGAAATCCAGGGTGAATGGACCACAAGTGTGTGCAGTGAGGAGGAGATGTTAGCAGCTAAGAAGGGAAAGGGAGGATGAGGTGAAAATCCCTTTGACCATTATTCTCCCATGAAGAGTTCACTGCAGAATGGATCCCTTCTCCAACACACACACACACACACACACACCCATGCACGCGCGCACACGCACAGGCATACGCTCAAGAAAGGAAACTACCGCTTCTTTTCCCCCTTCTCAGTTACCTGTTGGCGCCAGCATTTTTTCCCAGTGCCCCCAAAACTCCTTAAGCCATCCGTTGCAGTCGCCCTGTGAGGTTTTCCTGAAGAACTCGCTCACATCCCTGTCCTTCTTCCACTCGTCTTTCATTGATCTGACTCCAGGGTGCACCTCTGTCCACGTCATGTTTTCCGAGTCAAGGATGAGGAATATCTGTCCGTCAAAGCCAAACTGCCAGGATGCTCTGGTGCTTCTGCCTGCTTTACGCGCACAACACATCTTGGCCTGCAGG